AGTTTCATTCTTCCTATCAGTTGCTTCAGGGGCGATGACACAATTAGAGACACAGTAGCACTTCTAATTTTCTTGCCATTACTCACGGTGGTACACTCTTTACATTATTTTTTAAAGAGACCGTGAGAGGTTATTTACTTATTATCAATATAGTACTTTTTAAGAAGGCACTGTACAAGCACTGAGATTACAGACACAGAACTCCAGGGGAATGACAACCTAGCAGGGAAACACCACAAAACAGAATAAATAATCTTAATGTGAGCTAGCCTAGAAATATTGCAGGAACGTAGAGAAAGCGCATTAATGCAGACTAAGGCAACAGGAATGGAATGGGGTATGTAAGACTTCTTGATGCCGACATATGTTTTAAATGAAGTAATCATTCTTCCAAAGATAAGCATTAGCTCACTAAGAATACACAGTAATAACAATTCTTTTAATTGTTTTAGCTGACCTCATATTTTTCTGTTGTTACACTTCCAAAGAGACAACTGATCTCTGCAATAAGCCAAGACTGGATCAAATCACTAATAAAACTTTGGATATGTCTATCCCAGATGGGTGAAGTTGATTCTCAGCCTGGTTCAGACCATATACATTTACACTCAACTGGTAGCTCCGTCTCTGTATCTACAATCATCTTAGCCACTGACTCCACTAAAAACACTTGGTTATGTTGCTTTAAATAGCAGTACACTTTTCTAAATGTGCAACTCAATAAATGAGGAATGCTACTAATACATACATCTTTGAATAGAATGAGTACAATTTGAAATTTGATTTTATCTTTCTATGTATCATCTCTTTCAAGTCCTTCTGAGACCTCCTGAAGTATAGCAACTCCCAATGAAATGTACTTCTAAGCACTTTGGACACATTTTACAGTACAAATTAGTTACTATCTTGCTTATTGACTATATTTAACACCTAGTATTATATATTGTTTAACAGTTCATCCTCAGCTTCTCAGCATCAATTCTTATATATATTAAACTCAGTAAATATTTACTCAGTGAATAAACAAATATATATTTCTTGTTTTTCTCTTAAGATATTTTTTAAGAAATGAGGCAATGGCTAACTGGTTGAAATGAAGTGTTGTTCTTACAGAGGACCCAAGATGATTCCCAGTACCCAAATAGTGGCTCACAGCCATCCCTAACTCCACTTGCAGGGTATCCAATACGCCAACACTCTCTTCTGACTTCAACGGCCACAAGGCCAACCGCTGGTGCAGACTATGTAGGCAAAACTTTCAAGCACATAAAATAAAGTTAATGAAAATAATTTTTCTATTTGTCTAAAACTGATTTATAGCATTTCCTTGTTTAGTATCTTCTGATCCTTTTGAATTCATCCATTTATAGGTGTATCTTATATTTCTATGAGGATTTCTGGCCAAACCAACAGTTAAGAAATTATACCTTCTAACACCTCTGAAGACTACTAAGGGCTCTCTGTTTATTTCTGTAAAAAGAATGGCTCTAAAAACCCAAATAGACTACAGCCAATAAGACTATAGAATTTTTCAACTATGAAAACACTTTTAAATATAAAATTATAAACAACATTGATAGATGGAATTAGATACTTGTATTTATTTACTTCCTCTCAGAAATTTAAAAAGCACTATGCATAATAAAGTAAGTTTTTCTAGGATATTTAGTAAGGGAGAAGGCAGACAATACTCAATAGTACTAAAGTTTGGTGTCTCTGTTTAGATTTGGGATGTTTCATTTTCAAAATAGAAGTTATTATAATTCATTTTATATTGACATAGAATGTTCTACCTAGGTATTCAACTTAGGCAGTTATCTGTATCATTTTAGATGTGAGAAATCCAAATTAATAAAAAACATCTTATAAAAAAGTTTAACAATCCATTTTTCAGCTAGGCAAATGCTGCACACAAAGGCAGAGAATAGAGTTGGCAGCCAGTCTTAGCTATATAATGAGTTTCTGTTTAAAGACAAAAAAAAAAAAAAAAAAAAAGAAAGAAAGAAAGAAAAAGAAAAAATTTTATTAGGCAATCAGGAAATATTTTATATTAGTAAGTGTCACCCTCACTCATATCTGTAAAAAAACCAAAGCATTCATTTATCTTAATATCTTTGACTTATCTTTTATATACATCTAATGTTCATAGCAAATTGTGACTAGAGGATTGGCATTTCTATGGGCTTAACTATACTTCTTAAGAAAGACAGCGTCTGACCAGCAAGGTCATTCTCATCTCAGACATCAACATCCAGAGGCGTAACATTAGTTGTAATCCTAGAGAGCTATTCAGGAAGCATCTAGTCTAACCAGTTCACAGGCACAGATTCTCCACATTTATAGGATTTGTCTAACTGGGACAGACAGCGTCAAGACCAGAAAAACCATCAAGAATTCATTTCCAAATATTTTACATCTATTGTAAAGAAATCAAATTTAGGGCTGGCCTTACGGCAGCATGCTGTCCAAGTGTGTCACACAACTGAGCTTGAGGTCAGTTTGGGCTACCTGAGGTAGGAGGCAGAAAAGCAGGAAGATAAGACAGCAGGAAGGAAGACGGACAGGTAGGTAGGCAGACATGAGTCTTAGAGGAAACACAGTACCAATCTTGATATAAGGGGAAACCTCTTTGTCTTTGCATTTGTAAATTTCCAAGTCACTTCTCTAGTAATACAGCTGATGCCCTAACCCCACTGGTCAGGAAATGTTAGTAGAGAAGTACTTTACTGAATTGAGAATGCAAGCTAGACATTTGCCAGTCAAAGCTAAAAGAATCAAATGAATGATGCAATCATTTTTCCTGATAAACATCTTCGGATAAATATGATATAAAATATCCGAAAAGTATTATGCATCAGGAAATCCAAATAATTTTCTTTAAGTGAATCTATGACAGGTAATAAGGAATCTGGGGAAATAAATCAACCTAATTATCTCACAGTTTTATAGATCAAAAGAAATCCACTCTTGCTGTTTGGTAGATATGTTATTTTAATGAACTTTTATCTTGTATTTATAAAATACACATTTTCCAATTTGCCTTAATAATAACAATGGGCCTGTTATTCAAAAGTAGTTACAGAATTTTATTTGCTACCTTCATATAGAGAAATGGAACACCTAAATTTTAAATTCATTTTTAATACGTAATATGAACAAAAATAGCTTTGGAGTAGGCACAATAATTTTCTTAAATTCCACAAATCGTTCCATTCTCTTTCCTGCAATGCCCCATTTGTAGTTTCTATCAATGTTTATTAAACTGAATTTCCAGATGTTTCTATTTTCAGTCTTTAGTATCATTTCTTACTTTCATGACAATAATTGACACATTTTTAAAAATGTGGATTGAAACTGCCTGTCATACTTCATTGTGCAATAGCTGAACTGAGCCTTTATTTATTTATGTATTTTTTAAGTGTCATAAGGAGTTAACAGGACACAGCTGTACTGGCTCTTTCTAATAAGCAGCTTCTGTCGCTTTGGTCACCACAGGTGTCTCTGTGACCTGCAAACTCTTATTACTAGTGTATCAAAGTTGTGCTACTTAACAGACTTCTTTAGTAAAACATAACAAAGCAATTACATGGCTGTTGATTGCTAGTCATAAAAAAAACCCTCAAACACTGTTTTTCAAAAGAAACTACACTGCAATTTTTTGTCATTGTAAAATAAAAGGAACTAAGGAATTAAATGGAGGATAGAACAAAATGACAGCAGGTAGCCAGCTGAACTTAGCCACTACAGATGGTTCAGAAATAGTGTTTCCTTCCCCAGCGAGCTGAGGATAAAAGAAAAGCAGGAGAGTCCTGACTGCCAGTGAATGGCAAAAGATTTAGCCAAGTCTTCAGTCTATGTATTTTGCCTCATGAAAGACCTTCGATGCTGCATTTTTATCTGTTTTTGGCACTGCTTTTCATCACCTTTAACTGAGTGTGAATAATAACCTGATTTAATTTAAACAAATACAAGGTGCTAAAGGTTCTTTATTTATGTATAACAGGGAACATTTCCAAGGCACAACCGAGTCATCCTCGGAAATTTCCTAACCATTTGCTTAAAGAAATGAAGTATTAGATGAAGAAATTGCTCTACCATTCTTTTTGCCTCATGGTTAAGAGGAGAACCACCTTTCTTTTCAGATTCAGATTACATAAAATTAAGTCTGAATAATGACTGAAACTCCAGCCAGCCATAAATTAAAAAGACAAATCCAATGATTTCTAATTGTTCCATAGTTGCTTGTTAAGTAAGTATGCTAGGCTTGCTTTGAAGTGAATTAATTTAACCTTCCTCCCTGTTTATAAGTGTGTGATTATGACTGTGTCAACACACCCAAAGTAGCATCATGAGATGTGTGGCAGAGAGTTAAGTAGACATGATCAAAATCTCAGAAAGGACTGCAAGAGGCAGACTATGGACAGTATGATCAGCAAACTAAGTTTCTGCTGACAACTAAAACAGGCTTTTTCTTCCTAAGAAGAATATGGATGCCCTGCTGGCTGTGTGCAAAAGAATGTGTGCAATAAAGCGATCAGATCAATTAGCATATGCTAGAGTAAAGCTATTACCAACTCCGCTGGAGTAGTCCAGAATGTTCTGCCTTCTTCACTGATGTTATTTAAAAAGAAAACAAACTTATTATTAGAATTACTATTAGATTTGCTTTGCTATTTATGAACATAGTAAAAGCAGATTTTATTTAAATAATCAATAACTTCCTAGAAATGTATTCTCCCTCCTTGCAGATTTAAAGACAAAATCTTGTTTCATTTTCATATGTTTTAATTACGAAGAGTTTTATAAGTTAAAGTATACTTTCATATGGTAATACCTGCATTGTTAGCTATAACAGATTTTATCTAATGAAGTACAAGGGAAGAGAATTTAAGCTGAGGGCTGGAAAATACCCACAATGATGATAAGAAGTCAAATGCACTGAGGACTTCATTTTTTTTATAACAGAAACCCAACTCATAACTTGTGAACAACAGTATTACCTTGCTCTGTTGGCGTCCTTTGTCAGATCCCAAGCCCAGGTTATAAAATTTTGACTCAGATAAGAAACAATGGATTCAGCACAAAGCATTTGTGAGCAGAACACGTTGGTTAGTACACTTTCATCATGGTGGAGGTAGATAGCAAGAAGCTTTCTCTGAAAAGAGAAAAGACCAATCAATTAAAATATCCACTAAAATGAGACTTCTTGAACTCAAGAGAGGCGCAATCAGTGTATCTGAACAGCGAAGACAATCTAACGTTACTCCCCTAAAAGAACAGCGTTCTTCAGCACTGCCAGCACATCTACTAGCATTAATGCATTTTATGTCCTTATACTCTAATGAGGTTACGATGCTTGTGTGTGGTTTTAGAGAACACAGTCTTGGGTTTCTATTAACATGTGCAAGGCAAATTTCAGCAGAACTGCCACAGAACTTTCTTTAAATAAAATAGATTTTACACTCTTCATATTTAATGTACACTGTATTAACTCTAAACTATTTACTAGGACAGAAAAATCCCTAAAAAGTCTGTTCTACTTGAAAAAGTCTAAAATGAACTTTAATTTTAATTCAACTGATAATTTGAAACTTAACATGTGCCTCTATTAAAATCCTTATTTAAGAGCATGTACTGTTTTATTGCCATAAAAAAAAAGACAGAAAAACATTTAGTCCATAAGAAATGACACCTGCTCTCTTAAATGTTTCTGTCATAATTGGACAGTCAATAAAATAATTGAATCTAAAAAGTAAATTTCAACAAGATAATTTGTAGTATGTTAACATTACAATGGCAGCAATGAAAGGACCTAAATATTTGTTCTCTAACTTCTTAGTGCTGAGTTGTAAGAACAGCTACAATTATCAGGAAAAAGAAAGGTAAAATTTTATGGCAGGGAATACGTATGATAAGGAAGACATTCATAAGGATACAAACTTCTTTGTTTCTTTCTGCCAAAGAAAGATGGCAAAGAAACTAGCTCATCTTTCTTTTCATATTAAATAAGGATGTAATGATAGTAAATGAAAACGTGCTGTGTGGGATTCTCAACAAAAGCAAGTGTCTAAAAAAAGGGTCAGGCTGATGAAAGGCTAACGAAGTCTGATGCTTGGAACAATGCTGAATAAGAACCTAGATTATAAAAATAATAGACAAGTAAAATTCATAAAAATGCTTTCTTCAAAGCACAATTTTACATTAGTCCCAAAATCATCTATTATAAGAGGATACATTCTTATTTTGCAATTATTATTTACACAAATCTCCAGACTGTATCTGTAGAACAAGTACTCACTTCATTAGCATATGAGCAAATTCAAGTTTAGAAATGACTTATCCCCAACTTCCACCTAGTCAGTAAAAACTTCAGCTACAATTGGAGCCCAGCTGTCTGAATCCAAGTGTAATGTTCTTTCTGCTACTAGAGAAGCCGCAGGGCAACTGGACACACTCTAGAATGAAGAGGTTTGTGAGAGTACTTGTCTGATACAGAGATGGTGACCTTACAGGACGCAAGTGAGCAGAGCGCCAGTGACAGCATGCCTGGCTATAAATAGCTCTGCTGATCCCACCAGGATTCTAGGTGTTAATTCGTTTATTCTTTCATTCAATAAGCATTTGTTGAAATTCCCATTGTGTCAGACCCAGCAGGAAACATGGGCAATAAAATGATGAACACAAAAGACGGAGGGATTCTTCACCTTTGTTGAGGACTACAGATAACAGTAACTGAGCTTCAAGGAAGTTTGTAATCAGACACATTTTTGGAGAGATGCTTATCTGGCAAATTCTACTCAATCTTCAAGGCTCAAGGCAAATGTGTCTATGAATCCCCTTAATTCCCTCAGTCATAGTTAAGAGCTTCCTTTTCTGGATGGCTCCTACTTCTCCCCTCTAGTATTGTAATTGTTTACAAGTTACCCCTCTAGACAAAGTCTTTCAAGGGCCAGGGCTGAGCCTCTCAGTCTTTTCATCCACAGACCGACATAGGTCCCGGCCTGTTATAGGAAATAAACTTCAATACTGATCTTAACCACAGCCTGCTGGAAAAAAGACACCAAATGTCAGAGATAAATGCTAAATCTGTTTTTTATTAAGTGAATCAAGAATTTCTGGCTTCATGGAAAGAAATGTAAACCTATCTGCCCTAACACATTCAGGGCGCCTCTTTTTAGCTTTCTAGCTGAGTAGACAGAGGGATGTCAACCTCAAATTCGTCTTGGTCGTATCTCAGCAACTACATTTAATGAGAGTGGGAACAAGAGAGCTGCCCACTTTTAAATCAGCAGATTTCTAATCAAACAATAGCAATAGCGAAATATTTATAATGATCATTTCTCTGAAGAACTCTGCAAAGGAACATTTAGACTTTGGAAAAGAGATTAGTGATTTGCATCGCTATCTCACTGATTTAATTTAAATGTTCTCCCAAACCAAACACATATGTGCCCAAGGGGTTACTAAGACACCAAACATGCAGAGTTCCCTATAAGTGCAGCTGATAGTGTTGACTGAAACTAAACTTGGAAATCCAGGGCACTAATGCACAATATCAAGAAAAAAAAAAAAAAAAAAGCCTTTCTTTGGCAATATTTAATCTTAAAAAGAAGAAAGAGGCAGGCAGAGAGCAGGCACTGTCTGTTTGGAGGATCAGGCGTTCTGCATTTCAAAGCATGGGTCCCTGCAATATCCAGGTTACTGTGCTAGAATCTCCACTATTATATCGCAGTTGTGAGCAGGAGGGCAAAGATGTGTTTACTCAGTGATTAGGCCCTTAGAATAAGCCTCTCGCTCCTACAGAGACAGCTCACCACTTATTCATTTGGGCCAATTCACAAAGCCTAGGAAGATTAAACATCCATGCTGAGAAGACAAGCGAATGCAGACGGTAAAAAAGAAATAAAAATTCTTTAAAAACTCTGAGATGACTTCATTATTTTTCCACAAGGAAACTTTAGGAAAGTGTTTAGTTAGAGAAAAACCCACATTGACCTCTCTCTAAACCCTTAATCTTTCCTTTGTGGTGGCACTGCTTTGTGGAAAGCGACTGGCTCGCTGTGCTCCTCTTTTCACTGAAAGATGGGAGAAAAAAGGCCCTAGAGAAACAGTTTTCGTTCCAGGGACATAAACCCCTGACACTGTTAAACATGAGATGCCAGGAAAGCACACTAAAAATTCCCGCTTTAAGTCCTAAGTGGAATGTAAGAAAGATGATAAGTGTCCAAAGAGAAGCTCCAGGCCAGGGCACTCCCAGAGCAGCTTTTAAAGAGGAAGCTGAACCATCTTAGTCTCGCTTTTTTCGCATGGTAGTTTTCAATGTAGTCCCCCCCTCCATCTGCTACATGACAGTAAGTAAGCAGAACATACTTTTAGTGTGGAAAAATCAGATTAAATTGTAGGCAAAGAAAAACTGCAGGTTCATACTTTTGAGTCTCCTACTGAGCTCCATTAAGCACAGGCCCAAACAGAGAGAACTGGGTTTAGCAAATCAACCAATTTAGGAGAGAAGAAACTGCAAAGTAATCAGTAAACTATGGTTATGAAGAAAGGGCATCAGGTGCACAGAAAAAGCCTAAGAAAAAGTTTTGTTCCTCCTTTACATAACCTGCTTTTCCTTTAGACCATTCATAATTTGGTTCAATAACATTTATGGAGTGCCATGTGTTAGGCATTGAGGAATATAAAAAGCATAACACAAAATTTCCTTGCCTTACAGAATTGGGGGAAAAAAGGATACATGGGTGAGAAAAACGTGCAACTGTCATTCCATATAACAAGTGATAATATTCAATAAATGAAAAGACGTGGTTTTGTCCTTTTTAGCTTGGCAGAGAGGACAGAGTCCAGCAGCTCACAATGACAAGCCATGCAAACCTACACTCTGACTGTCACTCTGTGGTCTAATTTTTGGTGACAGTGTAAGGAAGTCTCCCCGGCTTAAAGCAACAGAACACCCTGGTCTAATCCCAGTTCCGTCTACTAGCCTTCTGACCGTGAAGCAAGACAAATTGTAAAGATTTCAGATAAAGCACATTAAACGCTATTTACTGTACTGGGCCAGTAGGGGCTACCAGATTTTAAAAAATACTGTTAAGATGAGGATTCCAGAACTACCAATGCAACACTGGAAAGCAATTACTAGGAAAATGATAGCCATGAAAATGATCTGTAGACTAAACAGCTCTCTGGATTTTTCCTCCTGTCAGGAGAATCTGGGATGCTAATCGTGCCTTCAGTGTATCAAACACCTTCAAATCTAGAAGTTAAGGTCCTGGGCTGATGCTCAGAAAGGGCTCAGCCGACAGTAACCAAAGTGACGTGACCTTGGGCAACAGTGACTACCACATCTTAGCACAGAGTACAGAGCTACAGAGCATAGAATGGAAAGTAGAAGTAGGGGGTGTGGCTCGACTGTAGACTGGTTGTTTCCCATGCCTGATGCCCTGAGCTCAATGCCGAGCACTGCATAAAGCAAGTCGGTAGTGTGTGTCGTAATCCAAACACTTCAGAAGCAGAAACAACAGGATTAGGACTCAGAAGTCAAGATGACCCTTAACTACATACCAAGAGAAAACGCAGCCTCTTGTATGAACCCTGTCTTAGAGAAGAAGGAAAAAAAATGAATAAGTAGGAAAATTTATCTAGAAAGTAAGACCAGAGCAGACATCCAGAAAGACAAGGAATATGCTAATGGACTACTTGAGTGCTTGCTTTCAAGTATCATAACACAATCTGCATCCTCTCACTGATTTTAATGTTGATACGACAAATAATGTGGAGAAATATTGGCTGACCTATTTTTCCAGTGTAAGAAATTAAAGTGTAAAATAATTTCCTCTGTGGAACGTGGTGCCTGACATTGTCTTCATGCCACTATTGAATTACTATTACTACTCTTGTGACCTATTTTAAATTGATGGGTAATTTACTGATAAAAACAACTGACAGGATAAAACATATACTTATTTTATTATACCAGTAATTTAGTATTGCTACATTAATATCTAAAATAGAATAGATATTCAAATTTTCTCAGTTATCTCCAAAATGTTTTTTCATAGCTGTCTCATTTTAGTCCTTGGCTTTTATTTATTTCTTTCACTGCTTTCTGTGTGTGGTTAACCTATGCTCAACATTCCCTAAGTAGAGGAC